GTACAGTTTCCGTCTGCCAGATGATTTGGAATAAGCCCAACAGCTTATCCGTCAGCGCTGGTCCACCCTCCTTGTAGATTTCGGCAGGAATCATGTCGGGGCCAGGTACTTTGCCATTGGACATTTGGCGGATCGCTGTCTGTATCTCATCAAAAGTTGGGACGGCGTCCAGTGAATTGTTCGTTGGGACCTGGGGGAGACTTTCAATGGCCTCATCATTAATGATGGAAGGTGTATTGAGCACACTTTCAAAGTGTTCCGCCCATCTTTCCAAGATTTTCTCTTTGTCTGTAATGAGCGTAGAGCCATCAGCACAAAGGAGAGGGGAAGTGCCTGAGGTGGAGACACCATAGATTTCTCTCAGGCCACGGTAGAAGTTTTTCATGTCTTTCTTGTCTGCAAAGCCCTGTATTTCATCAGCTTTTGAATTCAACCAGGAATCTTGCATCTGGCGCAGTTGTATTTGGACCTTGCTGCGGATGCCCCTAAGTGCAGCTGTCTTTGCTGTTGACGTTGGGTCATCATGGAGGGCCTTGTACGCTCGGCGTTTTTGCTCAAGAAGAATTTGGATAGCTGTGTTGTTTTCGTCAAACCAGTCCCTGTGTTTCCTCGTAGAGGGTCCGAGGCGCTCAGCGGCTGTATTGTAGACCATCTCACGAATCGTGGTCCACGCTTTTTCCGCGTCCTGGTTGTCCAGTGTGATTGTATCAAGGCGTTGATCTAGGCTGTCAACAAAAGTTTGTCTCACATCAGGGATATTCAGCCTATTTATGTTGAGGCGTTTCGGAACTTTCGTGGCCTGAGGTCGTCTCTTAGGTTGGATATGAATTTTCATCTTTGAGACGATGAGGCGGTGATCCGTCCAGCATTCTGCGCCACACATGGCCTTAGTCACCCTCACGTCCTGGCGGTCCCTATTTCTGACTATGACATAATCAATTAGGTGCCAGTGTTTAGAACGGGGGTGCATCCAGGAGGTCCGGTTGCGCGTTGGCAGGCTGAAGGTGGTGTTCGTTATTAGAAGGTCATGTTCAGCACAGGTCTGCAGTAGCAGTAGGCCGTTGCTGTTGCACTGACCAACACCATGCTTCCCAATCACTCCCCCCCAGGAGGTGTAGTCACTGCCGACACGTGCATTGAAATCACCAAGTATGATGAGTTTGTCAGCAGACGGTGTGGAAGAGATAACAGTCTTCAGGTCTTCATAGAATTTGTTTTTGGTCTCTTCTGTGTTTGTCATGGTGGGTGCATAGGCACTGACTAAGGTAGCAGACTTCTTTCCATGGCAGAGGGGGATTTTCAACGTCATGAGACGGTCATTTATACCTTTTGGAGAGCTGGGGAGCCTGCTCACAAGAGAGGTTTTGATAGCAAAGCCAACACCAGCTTCACGCCTTGCGTCAGGGTCGCGCCCGCTCCAGAAGAAAGAATAGCCAGCAAGCCTTTCTGTGATTTCACCCTTGCCAGAGAGTCTGGTTTCACTAAGGGCGGCGATGTCTATATTGTATCTTGCAAGTTCATGGGCAATGAGCGCCGTGCGACGTTGAGGTATGTTAGAAGTGTCCCTGTCAAGCAGTGTGCGTATGTTCCATGTGGCAATTTTAAGTGAAATAGTGTTTATCCTTGATTTACGAGCGCAAAGATTGTGTCCCCGCTGGCCGTGTTCAGTCAGCCAGGGTGTGAAGGAGCAGGCATTCTTTTGGGCACCTATTCTAGCCCCTTCGTCATGCATTTAGAAGAGCCTGCCTGTCGCCACGAGACTTGGGATGATGGGTATAGTTGGATGATTGATGACTTGCGCGGGTGACTTTTTTTAAAGTGAGGAAGAGTTGCGCAGCGTCAACCTCACTCTCTCGTCCGGACCCACCGTGTCCAGTGGCAAGACTATGTCAAGACGACCAGAAATGGGTACGGATGCAGTGGATGACCAAGATGTTCTACGTGCCTCATCTTGCTCTACGCACTCCACTGTGCGTTGCTGTAATCGCCTTCACCTCCGTTGAACCTAAATGGTTTCTTCCGCAGGATCCGCCGACGTCCAGTCTTTGCATGCATTAGGTAGGCAGACCTAAATCACCGAGTGCTTGAGGCCCATCATCTACCCACACCTGGTTTACCCAGCTATTGTAAGCCGTTGTCCAGGATATGGCAGCTGTTGCATGCTGACAGCTTAGCAAGATGGCGGCCATGTGGGTGACACAAAAATTATCTCCAGTGTTTTAAAAATTTAAATGTGTTCCCATCATACATACATACATACATACATACATACATACATACATACATAATACATACATGCATACATACATACTTACATACATATATACAGAAAGACAGAAAGTCATACATACAGACACACAGACATTCATTTGATATTAATAGATATTTAAAAAGATATCAAATACATTTATTAATATTTACTTTTTGATTGGAAAAATACCTTATCATTTCTGTCATGCTCTGTTATTTAATCAAAGAAATTTAAAGCTTTGGCTAAAATAGTCAATAATTTTTAACGAAGTTTGCGTGTGGTTTTTTAGAATAATTTTTTTTTCGCAACATTAACAACACACTAAAAACGAAATAAAATAAGAGATGTTTTGGTCTTCCTGATAAATGTGATAATGATTTAATTTTTAGATCATATTTTTTTGTTCATAAGTTTTAAATTCGGATAAGTACCTAAAATAATTCCTTAGTTGTTGAAATGCATGTATTTGTAATTTATAAAAATAATGCTTAAACTTTTACTTAAATAAAAGGGATATAAACTATTTTTCCGCCTTTAAATGTATTAGAATTCAATACAATTATGAAATATAGCTATAATTATTTTTAAGAGTCAGAACTTATTTAAATCTTTTTGTTTCTTTGGCTTTACGGTCAGCTCAGCTCATTCCGGTATATACATAAAGATAATTTCAAGAGATGCTAATTATATACATGAAATTATTACCTTATCTGATTAAAACTCTAGCAGACATCGAATCGTTCATTTGTCATAGGGTAATCAACTGAGCCTCCACCGAATTTAACATCGCAATTCCTATTGTACTTAGCATCAGACAGATAGTCTGGAAAATGTTGCAATATGCAATCATGACTTCAAATTCATGCCATCGAATGTTTTTGTGGTATATTACATTTAAAAAAAAAAAAGCCAAAAACTGAAGTTTCAAAAAAAAATAATTTACAATAGAGTTTCAAATTCTACGACTTGTCGTTGGCACTGACATTAGTACTGTTTTACCAATCACTGAATATTTTTATCTCTCAATGTGAACATTTTATGACTTGTAAATCTGAAGTTTTATCTACTTTCATTTATCAAAATTACATTCAGTAAGACCTACACTCACTAGAATTTTAATAGTTAGTAACATCTTGCACCACATGATAACTAAATTAATACTTTAAAAAGATAAAAATAATAAAATCATTCTGCCTACCGCTGAAATGAGCAGGTCTAGGATCTGGAAACTTTTCTGTGTAATATTTTCCACAAACAAAATGTTTACTTTATACATACATATTTTTAAATATATGGTGGAAAAATCATACTTGGCTACATGCTCGAACCCATATTTTAAATTTCTCTAAATGTGTGTAAGCTGTAAGACATGAATAAAATCGAACACCTTGCTTATGCGAAATACCATTTAAGCGTCCCGTTTACATGCAATGAAGTCCCCCTCTTTCCAAAATGTATTATTTTGAAATTTGCGGTAGAATTTTATTTCATTTTTTCTGTTCACAATAAATAATGCTTATCAGCTTATGATCTAGGTTAAGGGCCAGTTCGCTAACATTGTAGTACAGCACTGTATTATTTTACAAATGGTATTTCCGAAATTATATTACAAGCCTTGAATTTGATATTTCGGATTTTCCCATATTACATCTTCGCTACAGTGATTTTAAAATATTGATATAAAAGGTGGTAAAATTGTTTTTTAGTAATTCATTTAAACGTTAGATTTGAAAATAAAGGTCATATGTAGGAACATAAGAATATATTGCCACTCAAAACAATAGTATTATCTGATAAAATGTGATGTAACAACAGTGTTACAGTAAACTGTGTTTAAGGAAGTAATGAACGATGCCAACCCAACGTCCTTTAGTGATAGTCGCAGCAAGTAGAACAGTGCATCCAAACAGAATAATAGGACACTCTAGGTTATAACATATAACACTGTTATGATAACTAAGACTCATGGTGTTATTGCCTATATAGTGTAATAGTAACTTCAATAATTGATAGAACTTAAGAAGGGAATCAAGAGCCATTTCGAGTTTTAAAACCAACATACATATTCAATCTTGTTTTGAATATGATAATGCACATCTCAATACAGATCTAATTTGTCATTAAATTGCATAGTATTTGATTTAAATAAATAGTAATGTTCTGTTATTAAAAAAAATATGTATAATATTTATAAGCACTGTTTACAATAGAAAATATCACATACGATAGCTTGATACTTAAAAAATGCGAACTATTAGGGTGACTTCAATTTGGTGACAAGTTTTGTTTAGAAAACTATTATCAAATATGGAAATTGTTATCACTAGTTAAAATTGGTGATATGTATAGCTATAGTATTATTTCATTTTGTAACTCAAACATGAATATTATAAAATAATGTTCGAACACTCACGAAAATTTCAAGCACCACATTTTCATCTCGGCGTTATTTGATTTAAGCGTATGTACACTATCCCAAAATAAATCAAATTGTGTCTGCACTAACCTTCTAGCTGGGATGCCACAACTTGAGAATTTTCCCAAAATCTTGGAAATTCACTACCCCATTCAGGACCACAAATCACTTTCTTTTTTTTTAAAAATTCCCAAGATTTTTTTACACTAAACTCTTATATATTTTCATGATCTTGGGAAATCTTGGGAAATATTTTAAGGAAATTTTGGGACATTTTTAAAAAATTGAGTGGTAGCACTGCCTAGTTGTCTTTTTGCGCCAAGTAGAGGCAAAGCTCTAGCGGGAACCGCCAAAGCAGAATGTTTACCCCAGAAAATAACACTAACGTATTGGATTCACTTAGGCTTGAATATGTATATACCTTACAGTGTTGACAGGACTTAGGTAGGGATTACTATGATAAAGTTTACATGGATTTGTATACAAATAATTATATTTGTAGTATTAAATATAGAGTGTGAAGTTTTATTTTAGAGAATGACGCTCAAAAAGCAATAGCACATTCAGACAAAGAAAGCTCAGCGTTACCTTCGCACTGCAATCGTCTAGAGCCTGTGGCACAAGTACTTCAGTACCCACTTTATACCCAAATAGGTCAATCGTATTTTTAGTTTATATTTTATTACATCAGAAGTACTTTGGACTAGCATTTACATGATACAATCCTCTTTTATAGTTCAGTTCAGTAATCTGTATATACAAATGTAGTAGGCTAAAATGTTAAATTAAAATTTTAACACAGAGCTACTATTTAAATGTATACATTATTATGAATTTGGTGATTATTGATCTATTTTATTTCTAATACTGCCAAATTAACATGTTACTTGTAAAGTTATTTCGGTTCATGTCAAAATCAATACGTTGAGAGTCTACGTAAGTATCTTTATTATATTGTATTCTTTAATTTTTTAAAAGAATTTGTATTTAACATCACAAATGCATTTTTGTTCTTTTGTAAATTTCATATTAGCGTTATCGCAAACTGAGATTTTTCGGCATATCTATAAATCTACTTATATTTAGCTCCTCAAATTTCAACTCTGTTATCCTTTATCTTTAATTTTTTTATCACTCCTTACACTAAGTTTCGTTTATTTTTTTTGTGCGAACAAAAGTTCCCACACTCAGTTCACAAATGACAAGTGCAAATATGCTAATATTAGTTAGGCTGTCAACTCAGTCACTGACCTCTTCTTTGCCTAGCGAGGGACGAAAATATCGTTACTGTTGGCGCGAGATACTAAAGTTACCAAAAGTTGTATGCGGGGCGTCAAGGGTCACCCCATCTAAACCCATCGGTAATACTATTAAACGTCTGTGGTATTAGAGAAAAGGGAGGGCACGGCATCATGTTACGCCACGAGCGGGACGTGGACATTATACTCTTCTAAGAAACACTGCTTAAAGGTAAGCCGTTTCATATTACAGGCCACTCGCTGTACCACTGCAAATATAAGCAATGATGGCTGACCACTGCGATAAGAAATCTACTCCTGATGGATCTGCTTGAGGTAAAAATCGTACTAAGGTACAGATACCTTCAGGATTCCTGTGTTTAAAAATAACGAAAAATAATCGTGATTAAATAGTTCTATAATAAGCGGGCTGCTGGGTGGTCTATACTGAGCAAACCTCAAGTTGATGGTTTGGAGTTCAATTCCAGCCAGAGCAGAGTCAAGCTAAAATATCACCAGCATGATACAATGAAACATTCCGATAATGAAACAATGAAATTCCTGCGACGCCACTGGTGCCAAGTTGCATCATCCAATGATGTTCCCTTGGGTTATCCAGCTGCATGAAGAGAGGCGATTTGCTGTTGGGAACTAGCTTATAATCCTTGAAGAATAAGCCCAGGATAATCCCAGGCCATTGTGACGGACGGATTTCAGCAAAAAAAAAAATTAAAACAATAAGTCTGTTAATCCTATCGGCAATGCCAGCAATATATTTTTTTTTCAAATGTAGTAGTGTGTGTGGGTGACGTAGGTGCTTGGGTGTACCAAGGCTGCCACTGACAGTTATTAATAAACAAATGAAGAAATGCAGGCCTCGAGGACTATAGCTTTATTAATGCTCTACAAAGCAATCCACTATGATAAAAAAAAAAGGCCAACACTTGTTATGATTAAGAACAAGATGTAAGAAAATGTCCACTATGAAGAGAAAAAAAAAAAAAAAAAAAAAATCAAAAAAAAAAAAAAGGCAAACACTTGATAAAATAAAGAACAAGATGTAAGAAAAAGTACACTAAGAAGAAAAAAAAAAAAAAAAGGACAATATCTGAAAATAAACAAATAGTACAGGTCAACAATGTCCTGACTAACATAGCTAACAATAAACATATTACATAACCACGTAATTACACGTGGCAACAACATATACTTAATTAGAAAGCATGATAAATAATACGTACGTAGTATTGTTTCATACACATGGCAAAGATAATTATCTTGTACTACGAATGTTTTAATTTTAAAAGAAACCACGTTCAGTGTTTAATTTGAAACACGTGCACAGTGTTAATGCTACACACAGAACCAGAGTGCGATGTGATGTCTAACATAAACTTTAAAGATCTTGAAGTTATAATAGTATGCCATCCAGGTATGGTGTCTATGTAATAAGCAAACATAGCAGGACAGTAAATACAATGGTATAAAGTATGACCACCGTTGGCTTGATACTTGTATCTGTCCATCGCTGTGTCTTGTTAAGACAACAGCAGATTGCAGAATGAATCGTTATATGGAATATGATCCTAACACATGCACTATTTCCTATGTGAGAATTTAGCACACGGCAGGAAAGTTAGCCTATTACACATATTTGACGGACACTCGTTGGTTGTCTATTGTTGTATCTATAGCTTATATTATAAGCGCAATGCAGTATGTGTACCCAGAACGATATGCAGTTGTTTGTTACGCTCACAAACCCAGGTCACTGGTATCTAATTTATTAATCCTATTAAATAATTTATTTAACGGTTGTATGTTAACATTTAAAATACCCTGAGCATACGTCTACACGCTGTAGGTTATTCTACACTATATCCTGGTTATAAGTCTGAACAGAAATCTTCCAATGCTAACACTCAACAAGTTCCTACTAACCACACAGAAATAAAATGGCGTATTTGCCTCTATTAACAGAGCGCTCCAATGGGCCGCACTGAACAAAGGCACACTGCAGGTATGCTGACCAATCTCGAATGACCCCTACTTAGTGTGCTCCCCTTTATAAAGCCGTGCGTGGACACATGAGAGAGGGTCTCCGTCAGACTTAAATCAAGTCGGTCTACGTTTTGCCTTCTGGCCAGTTTCCTGGGGTAAAATGCCTAACTCTGGGGACTAATCCCGAGTAATAATTAAAATCCCTGACCAAAGCCCTAACGACTTCTATGTGATCTGTGCAGTTTTGTCTCAGCTCTCTAAGATACTATTTTATAGTTCTATGTGATCCGTGCAGTTTTGTCTCAGCTCTCTAAGATACTATTTTATAGTTCTATGTGATCCGTGCAGTTTTGTCTCAGCTCTCTAAGATACTATTTTATATTTTTATGACTTAAATAGTTTTTGAGATATTTTAACTAGAAGCGGGTGGGGACCACTATAGATGAAGGCGAAAACAACTTTAATGACTCAATGTTAAACTATCCTCCAACGATGGAGACTTGTAAATATGCTAAGGTATAGTGAATAAAATCCCCTTTCTAACTAGATATAATTTATAACTTAATACGCTAGGGTTCCCGAGAAATAAATTATTGAATTTCTAACTAAAACGCACATCGCGCCCCAATGCGCGAGAGAAGCCTGCCGTATAGTGACCGTCCGGGTGGGGGGGATGAAAGGGATACCTGAGCGCGGGCTACATACACACCGCGCGACCTCGCGTGGGGCGCCAAACTTGGTTTTCGTAACGGGTCTATACACACCGCGCGACCCCGCGTTGGGCGCCAAGCATGCTTTTCGTAACGGGTCTATACACACCGCGCGACCCCGCGTTGGGCGCCAAGCATGCTTTTCGTAACGGGTCTATACACACCGCGCAACCCCGCGTTGGGCGCCAAGCATGCTTTTCGTAACGGGTCTATACACACCGCGCGACCCCGCGTTGGGCGCCAAAATGCTTTTCGTAACGGGTCTAATAGCGGGTTGGGGCATACACTGCCACACAAAGAAAAAATAAGGGGGTGATTTAAATTTCAAATTACTGAACTGGGGATAGATAAATCGATCGTATCGCGTTTGGATGCTACTACTAACCTGATTCGTTTACATGACGAAAACAGGGGACCACATAACTTCCCACATGATATAGTACGTTTATAAATATTTTATGTCTAAACTCATTGTGTTTGTACTAAATGAGATCGGTAGAGAAAACAAACATATCCTCATTAGAATTTTGGTAGCTACCAGTGAGGTACGCTTCCGGAAATTGTACTGACAGTTTCGGAAAACAAACAGGATAATGTACGAGACACAGATCGAAGCCAAGATGGCAGACGTTCATGCCAAAGTACCAGAGTACCTAAATGTGGAGTATGAGATCTTAATAGGCATGATTTTTAAGTGACAAGGAGAGTAAGTCCAAGAAATATTGAAAGACAAACCTTCATACCGTACTGGAACAATAATCTGAAGGTGCTGGTAGAGAATAGAGCAAAAGAATGAATGAAGACTTCCAAAGGAAAAACACCAACAGTGTGAGTGGCGTGCAATCGATTGACAGTCTAAATTCTTGAAGAAATCATTAAAGCGAAAAATTCAATATGGATTAATACGTATGCAAAGCTCAATTTTTGGAGGGAAAAAATGTCTAGTTGTTACTAGCATAAAAAAAAGTCTCTCGCATTAGAAAGCAACCAAAAAAAGTTACCCAGTAAAAAAAAACCCAGCTGTTACAGAGGCTAGCTGGGCCACATTAACTAAATCGCTATATACATATTTTTCTAATGTAATCAAAAAAGCAATAGGGACTGGAGAAAGCAGTGTGATCAAACAATATCCACAAGTTAGGAACTCGACCCCACAGAATGGGATTTTTCCAAAAAAATGGTTTTCATCGCTCGCCTCCAATGAACTAACTACAAAGCAAGTGCAAAACAGTTAAAGCACCAGGACCCAACAGGATATGTAGCGAAATGCTCATGCACTTTGGCTAAAAGGAAAAGTAGTTGGTCTTATACTTTGTAAACAAAACATGGTCAACAGACGTCGTGTTACAGGCGTGGCATTGAGCAGTGATTGTCCCTATCCCCAAAGAATGCAAGTCAAGCAAACTTTCTTAGACATCTTAGAGCTACAAGCCGATATCCCTAACATTGCGTGTTGGGAATGTAGCCTGGTGAATGTTCAACACGAATTTATTGGCTCTTATAGCAAACTAAGAACGTTAGTGTAAAAACCGATGTGGCTTTTGAGAGGAGAGGCATCCAATGTCGCAAGTTATTCAGTTGATCCAAAGTACCACCAATGAACTCCAGATGAAAACAAAAATTATACTATGGCAGTTTTCTTTGAACCCCCAACAAGCTTACAATAAAGTTTGGAGGGTGTGTCTTCTGAGTAACAGCTGTATTCATAAGTGGATGCATTTCTTTTTATGAAATCACACGACATCCACCAGTTTTGGGCGCAAGGCATTGAACATATTTGAGTTTGAGCATGGACTCTCAGGGGTTGGCCTTGAGCTACACCCTACTCCGGACGTTCATTTAAAACTACAGTCAAGTTTGGTAACAATGAACTAAATGTTTGCACATGATCTTGTAATCTGGAGCTCGAGCTAATCCATCTAACAATTGCAGTCCGGCTGCAAAAAAAGACCTTACTTAGACACAGGGCTGTGCTGAGAAATGTAGATTGGTGTCAAATGATGCGAAAACATTATTTTCCTTGTTTTTAATTAGAGGAAGTGCTATAAAAGAATAAATATATCTTCGTCCGTGCGGGTTCTCATTAAAATGGGACAAACACCTTCGTATTTGGGATGTAAGCTTGACTAGAAACACCAGCTACACAACCAAATACGCTGTGTCGGCACTAGTAGCACGTCCAAACTTATCCTGTTAATGAAACTTACTAGATCAACCTGGGGTCCCAATGCAAGCCTTCTAAGAATAGTATATATTGGGAGTGTGAGAGGAGTACTTAACTATAGCCTATCGGTCAAAGCCTTTTCGAGCCGAACTGACATAAATAGACTGGACCGTTGCAAAACCCAGCTCCCAGATTCGTTTGTGGGGCATGACATAGCCCACCCACGGCTGCAGTGGAAATCTTGAAAAAAATAACATTTCTATCCATCGTAGTGTTCACTGACTCATAGTGTGCTCTAGGAGCTGTGAGGAGGTGCCCTTACGACATGAAAATGGACAGTCTTGGAGCTCAGGCATGTCATAAAGTAACATTTAGCCAAAGTCGTAAAACAGGAGATAACTGGACATGCTGGATAACCCCCAAAAATATACAGCTAATTAACTAGCAAAACAAGGCTCTGCGCAGTCACAGCCGAAAATGCCAATAACGCAACTAGGAAACAAGATTGGGTTTAAGGACCTCTGTAAAGAGGAAGAGCTAAAGAAATGGGAAAATGGATAGACAGCCCGCAAGCTTTGCCAGAACATGCATAAACCTAAATAAAAGGGGGAGCAATGGAAGCATCTTTAAAGCATTCACAAGAATATCATAGCGCAAATGAGAACGGAGAACAGGTCTACCCAAAGCTATCTGAATTGTTCACATCCGCTTCCGGACTCGAGCTGCCGCCACTGTGGACATGCCCTGGAGACAGTCAAGCACTTACTGGCCGAGTGAACGATACTTACAAGGGGCGTCACGTGAGATGTTGCAGTCAAAAATGTTGAGAGTATTATTTACTGCAACACCCAGCAGATGCGGTATGTATATAATGAGCTTTCCGGGTTCCAGTTGCAATAAAAGACAAATAGCTTGGTCCCAAAACGTGAATGTAATATATAAGTAATATTTGACAAGTATGACAGACATGACATGTCTATCCAATGACTAACGAATAAATGCTTAACGAGCTATTAAAATGGCATTCACTTTCTTCAAGTAAAAACTATTTAAAAATATTTATAACTTGTAATAGTCAAGAATATGAGAATCACTGTTATGTGTAGATCACTGTTGTCATGCTTGGTAGGGTCAAAATGTTTAGTTAGAGATTTCGTGTGTATATGTATCGATTATGTGAGAGAGTTATAGCGTATTAATTTGGGTAAGGGGAAATGATGCGTTTGTTAGTGTGGATAGAATGCATAGATGGCCCTTGTGGGATATCCATGGCGTGGCTTGTTTTTGTGTGTGTAGGAATGGGCTGGATATATCGTTGAAGCAGAATGTTGGTTAGTTTACGAGTTGGATTTTTGGTGTACATTGATCCGTCAGGTTTTGACAAAGTATAAATAAAGTTATAGACTTTAACTCATTTAAATAGATTTTCAGTGTTTGCTGTGTTGTCGGTTGCATACGAATGTGTGAAGAAGTAAGAGACGGCCGAGCGCCTAGCTTCGAAGAGTGGATGAGCGCACTACACTAAGATCTACAGTTTGACAGTAATCTAAAGCTTAAGTTTATTATTGTATTATTTCTTTCAGTTTAAGTTATTACATATATTCATACATTTGATCAAAGAGGTGTTTTGGATTGTTTGCATGTGTGTGTTTGTGTATGGATGTGTGTATTATTGCTGTATATCTTTTGGTGTTAATATATTTATATGTGTTTGTATGCTTGTGTATGTTCATTTGCGTTAATAAAAGCCAGTGTAAAGGACAATTCGGATGAACATATGCATACATTAAAATGAGAGGTGGAGGTTTGGGTTTTGTAAGTGTGATTGTTTGTGTTAGGGTAGATTAAGTGTGGTCTTGGCTGTGGTGTGAAATTCAGAAAGTCTAAGCAAACAGGTTATACAAAAAAAAAAAATATCTTTAATTTCTTTTTTTTCCGTAAATAGTAAGTTTTTACAAATTCTAGGTAGAGAAAACACAAGCTTCTCATATTATAAGGCATTGGCTTTACAAACGTCTTGATGGCTACCTTATTGTATATTATTTTGGCTGCTCTTTTGTGTGAGTATTATATTTAATTATATTTTAACTACATGAAATATAGGGAATGCATTTTTACACTTTAAAAAAAAATATTAAAAAAAAACATCAAACAACAACAAATAAACTTAAGATTGTTGATGCTTTTTAACATCACTACACACCAAGTCGTAATGTATAAATATCTTATTATTTACTTTTGAATTTATATTTTTAGAAACATTAATTACAGTCATATTTTAATATGGTCTTAGCTTATTAATATCTTGTATACTTATTTAATAGAAACAAAATCTGTTTCAGCATGCGCCAATAATCTAAACATTACACTAAAGGACGTCAGTTACAAAGATTATACGACGTCTTGCACTAACGATCCGATCGGGGATTTTGACCTAGTTGAGGTCACTTTTCTTGTGGATTATTCCAAGGAGCCTTATGTAAACTATGTTATTTTTCAAAGAAAGAGGACATCTGAAACCCGATTTATTTTTGTAAGTGTCTTCTTTTACTATTTTTTTTACAGTATACAACAAAGCTATGATTTATATGTTTATTAATGTATCATAATATGTTTTTAAATATATTTTTAATCGTCTTATGTATTTAACTTACCTATGTAAAATTAACAATAAAAATTATGGACATTATTTATTTATTGTATACTATCCTAGATTTTATGGGCTTTTTTGCGAAAAAAAGATGTTTATATCTCAATCATTTCATTATTCCAAAATAATGGGAAATACATGATTATAAAAGTTAAAATACTAAAATATATTTTAGTCTTTAAAATAGCAACATATAAATAAAGACCAGCTCTGAAATTCAATATAACATGTGCTGAAATATTCTTTACCTCTTGTAAAAAAATCAATTCAAAATATATATAAAAAAACATCAATAATTATTTCTAAAAATATGTCTATGTATATTATATATATCCCAAAAGGCATGTACATATATAATATATCAATATATGTATAAAGCTCAGCATCGCTATATTTCATTGTAGATTGGTCAATCAATCACAAGAAAACCAAAATATGAATCACAACCAATTTAAATATTTGTCATCCCTTCTGTCATTAAGGTGGTTCGTAGAAAATAAAGTTAAATATTCATTAATTGCATAGAAATATTTTTGTTTATAGTGTAAAATTTAAGAAATAATCAGTAACATTTTTATTTCCATTTTGTATAATTTATGATTCCTATCTTATGGATAATTAAAACATAAAACATGTTCAAACACGGGATCTTTATTTTAAATTTAATTGGAGAATAAAGTATTTAAATATTTTGATGTAGATTTTTGAGTTTCGAAATAATACTTTATACATTCAGTTAATTTTTTTTACAAATTATTTTGAAATAAAATAAAATAAATACATACATAATTTCAAGGCAAAATCTATATTTTTCATGGATTTATCAAAACTATCATGTTTATTGATATTTAAGTTACATCGTATAGATTTCTATACTTCTTCTGGAATATCCGAGACACATGTTATCGAATGTATGGATTTATTTGTTTGTTCCACACACGTTTGTACATGGATCGGTGGAACTTGACTAACTTGGCACACCTATTCATCATTATTAGAAAGGATCTCTTGGGTGGTTATAAACTTTTTACAATACTTCATTTTTTTTTCTTAATATAAGTTATATAAACAATTTTACAAACAAATACTCATACACTAATGGACGTATCTTGACAAACTTAGTACACATACACTTAATTAACAATCTTCAAATAACATAGCTTGATGAGCTCATACTTTACATTTCTCTGGGGCTGTTGTGGTGTGTTATTATCGTAATGGGCGACAAGCAGCTATTTTTTTAAAGAGTGAATGATTTATTTTTTCGAGCTGAGTACATTTCCAATGCTGTACAGGAGTTTCCTTTCTTCTAATATGAACGCCATTATTACTGGTTGATTTTGATTGTGCGCCGTTCTTTAACACAATATATACATAATTAAATAATATTTCTTTTATTCAAACAATCTCGTGATTTGTTTAAAAAAAAGTTGTTAATTTTTTATTTTTTTTTGTGTAAATGGTTTACTACACTTCAGCTTTTAGGGGCTAAGTAAAAGTAATGGTGTTCTAGACTAAGAAATTTTAATTTAACATCTTTTAAATATCAACTCCATAATTTATCCGATATTTATAGGGGCCCCATCTCAGGCAAAACTAAATCCCATCGATAAACGGGATTCCACCAGTGTTGTGATCAAAAAATTATTGGGATTCAACCGGAATCCGGCGTTAAATTCAAAACGTGTTTGGGAACCCCACGATATCGGGATCCCACCGTAACCGGGATTCCTTTGGCTAACGGGATGCATTCGGGAAAGAGTTCCAAGAATTTTAGAATCTCACTGGGATTGGGATCCAAAGGGATCGGGATACAGACGAGGTCTTTTTATGATTATTCTATTTAAAAATGGAAATAAAAGTACTATTTTTAAGAGAGAAAAAAAATGCTACATTTTAGTAATTTCTTTATTATAAGGGACTGCAATTTATTACGAGTATCACATATTTCACTTGAATGCACAATTATTGCTTCGTTATTCCTATGGTTGTACAGACATGTGTTTCTTTTTAATTTTGCATCACATTTACATACTATGTGTTGATAGAACGGATAATCATTGTTACGTACTGTTATAAGTATGGATAAATTAATCTCTTATTTAAATATATATCTCGTTCTAAAACAGTACACAAAAAAGACGGTAACTTATGTTAAATACCATAACAAAGAATACGCTACTCAAACCAAGGCTAATTACAATTAATAAAAGTTATTATTTTAACTATAAATTATAAAATCAACAAATAAAAAATAATTAAAGTTAGTGACTTACAGAATAATGATTGGCTTGTACCTGTTCAATGTTGAAGAAGATAAAATTTGGTCGAAAAGTACAGTGATGAAACATAATCTACACACACAGTAAAGAAATCTCTGTCTCGTAGAGCAAAAATCTACAAAAAAATTAACAATCGTTTCCAATATCTCTCGTCTTCGTTTTGTCGCTCAATCTCTCGAAGCGTATATGTATAGTTTGTTTTATAGATACCCCTGGAAAGGGTTTACACATTGCATAAGAGCCTCGAGCAAACTAGTATATTCTAAATGATTTTAATAATCATACCGGCTATGGATTGTATTTATTTTAATCGAGGTCAAGGAGATTAATTTTTTTTTGCAACACCCTAAACTCGGTTCCAAGCTTGGGTTTAGCTAGAGTTCATTCACGGGGGATTATGACGTAATCACGTTGTCTACATAACTATCTTAAATTTAAGATTAAGCCAAAAACAACATTTAGTCAAACAATGAGTTGGTTCCTTTTATTGGGATAGCAATATTTCAAACGCATCATATATTATATATGTAACGATTTAATATTCTTTTAATATACAACATTTCAATTAAATTACTTACACATTGAATTAAAACGAATGAAAAATGACAACTTAATCAGACAGTATATAGCTTTTTTAAAAAAATATATAAACTTAGACCCCTGGTCAGATTGGCTTCGAAAAACCTGCCACTCAAGAGTATAATAGAAGGCATTGCCGTTTCTTAAATATAAACTAAAATAAGATGGGTCCAAAATCCATTTTTATTGAATTATTGTAATATGGCTTTTTCGGGAAAAATAATTTAATAACCATTTTACCGTATTTTTTTAAAAAGTATAAATGTACCCCCTGAGTCGATTTTTCTTTATTTATTCCTTTCTGTGGTGCATAATCGGATTGAGGCACTTAAGTGTGTGCTTTGTGAGCACTCTTAGGTGTGCAAGTGAGAGAGGGTGGCGAAAAAAATAATGATCTTTGGTCTTTAGTAGTTATACTCTACATGAGGTTTATGTCACAACTTTAAAATGTGCTATCTTGTGGTCGTTTACGATTGGCATAATTATTAATATTACTAATTGTGTAAGTTGTAATTGGCGTGGCAAATAAAAACGAAAGACATTGATTATTTCTTTAGCATATTGTTATTTAAAGAAAAAAAAACATGCATTAGCATTTTATTTTTATAAATTAAAATCATACAAATATACACAAAATATAGAAGTGTAATAAATAAATTTCATGTAATTTAACATTGAATCTTTCTACATAAGTTAATATTTTATTATTACACTTTTAGAATAGTGTAATATTTATATGATAGATTTTAAACGTTAAATTGATTACAGTTGACTGGCTGCAATATAAAAGAAAATTGTGACGGCTCCCAAAATGCATATGGTAGACAGATTGGCAAAGATCACACAGAGATTACAATCAGGATTAATGCAAAATCTGTTTTAAGTGGAGCTAAGTTACGAGGGCTGGTTTACACGCCAGAAAATATGGCTATAACTAGTAGCGAGATAATATTTCCAAATATAACAGGTAAAGGGAAAGTTGGGTATTTGTGTTGTCTATAAGCAATAACGTTAGCTATTTAATTATGTTTAACGTTCGCAGACAATTACATTAAATATGTTTGCTTAGAATCTTACAATTTAAAAAATCAAAAATCCTTTTTCTTTTAAAACACACAATTTAAGACATCAATATACGTAAATTGTAATAATTATTGTTTCAGAATTTACGGACGTTGAAGGTAAACTTATCGTCAATGGTAAAACAATGACACCATCAACAGACTATCGCGAGGTTATTACCCAGCCAGAATTAAACCTTGTATTTCTGTGTGAAAGTCAAGTTTCACCTTGTTTGATAGAAATATCAACTAACGATTCCAATGAGACAAGTCAAGGAGCAGGAAATGCTACTTGGACTAAAAAATACCCTTCTCAAAGTGAAGTTCACGTAATGATTAAATATGGTCTTTGTAATTTATTTGGAAACTCCAAGTCTATTTCATGTAAATTCCATATTGGTAAGTATCTGCTAAAAGAAATTCTTCTTCTTATTAGTAGTAGTATTCATGTTTTTTTTTTTAATTTTATTTTTTATTTAAAAATAGTATAATTATTTGCATTAACAAAAGATGCTATAAAATTTTGCTTTAAAAAAAGATTAAAAAAATTATTATTGTATGGAGCACATCATGCGTATTATACTGCAGGCGTCAAAGGTAGCATTAATGAAATCCGTGCATCTTAAATTGGTATTTGCGTTTGTCAACGTTGCTTTGGACCACCTGCAAAGTATCTATAGAAGTGAAAAGAATTATGTGTTTAGTGATTTGTTTTAATTGGGTATCTCCACAAAGTAAAAACGATTTACTAAAGTTAGAAGAGCTATTCCCAATTATATGTTCTTCTTTATAGGCACAAAGTAACAAAATTTAGGAAAAGTACTCCTTAAATGGAAAGAAATTTATGATCGGCCTTTTCACGAATATCACTCTATAGAGAGCCCAATTTCAAGCAAAATTGCGAAAAACAACGTCATTAACACCGCAGAAACACGTGGTACCTAGTGCTGTGTAACGATTACAAATGCACGCGCTCCAGAACCGACAATTTCAGTACTGTTAATTTTAGCTATTACTATACTTACACTTTTAGTCGTATCGGTGGTGGGACAAAATAAAAAATGTGTCGTGGGTAGGCCTACATGAGGAGGAGGGGAAAACATCGCACACTAATGAGTTGTTGCAATGGAGATGTGACTAACGTTCGTGATACTCGTTTTCAAGTATTGTTTTATGAAACTTATTAACCCATGTGACGATCACCAAGACATAATGAAAAATAGCGAATAAAGCGATGCAGGAATGATACGTCAATAATAAAGGAATGAGGGTGTGCACAAACATTAACAAATGGAAGGTATCTTTTTTCCATTACGTTATAAAGTTTCAATCATACAATACATATGTGATATATATATATATATATATATATATATATATATATATATATATATATATATACACACATATAATATATAAATATATATATAATATATATATATATATATATATATATATATATATATATATATATATATATACACACACATACTATATATATATATATATATAATACCTAAATACATGTATATATATATATATATATATAAATTAACGCCTACATTCCTGATTTTCAAATGGTAGACTACTGCACGAATAAAACAACAATACGAACTGGACTAAATTTAAGACTATGTGAAATGAGACTTAACTGCACTAACAACCAAACATTATGTATATTATAGTAGGCCTGTCCACTCAAACATAGTGTCTCCATCTCACTTAGGTTTTGTTACACCTCGCCACGACTGTAGTGTATTTTCGATGATTAAGCCGTGACACACATGGTGAGAACCATTGCAGCCACATTTAATTTCATATTGATAAATTTGTTGCCACTTACACTATTTTTAAAAACAAAATGTTGTAGTAAAATGTAACTAGCATACTCTTAATCGGTTTTATTATGTGTATTGTTGTCAAAGAATACAAATCAACAAGTAATGAAAATGCCAGTAGCAACAATGCAATAGTATGGACTGTGTGTATTTCTATGACGATGACGCTACTGTGCGTGTAAGTATTATAATTGAGGCAATGGCATATTATGTATTATACAGAGGTGTATCACTAACATTCAATAATGTATACAACAATATTAGCAATAGAAAACAAAAGTAAATTTTAAAAGTACAGACTCAAATGTCTTTACATTAATGATTTACGTTTATAGCAAAGTATGCTTTGTTTGTTTTTTGTCATTTAGTTTTTTGTCTGTTAATATAAAAACCACACTGATATATAGGCCTTATATTTATAAATTTAATTTTATTTTAAATAACATGCAAACTGCATTTATTAACTTTTTCAAATTAAACGTTGTAATTCTAGACAGTAGCTCAAGCAGTATCCACATTGAAAAACATTTGAATATTTTTTAATTTTTTTTGAAGTTATGAATAGGTTAAATATGCACATACAAATTATATTTCTGTTTTCAAATACAAGGGTCATTGCGTGAAACCGTATGCAAAAATATACATCGGCAAGGAGCATGTTGAGGCTTGGAAATTTTTAAAAATCTAATTATACTTCTTTCAACTGCAACCTTCTGCAGACAGCACAACACACTAATTTTTTTTAAAATGTTTATTTTAAAATTATTTTGATTTAGTTGTTTTTATTTTGTATTTTCTGCTGATATAGGCAGTAAGCCAAAACGTGCTTTTAAATATATCTTTCCTTTTTCAAGCTAATCATATTTTATTGCACTATTTACTGGCCTTCTGTGCTGGCAACAAATCTCCTCTATACAAACTGTTGTGTAAACTCGGAAGTCAAATATTCCAACTATATATTTAAGTATACAATTGGACCATTCTCAACATATAAGTAAATAGTTATGATTATCGTGTACTTATTAAACATAAGTATACATTTTTTTGTCTTTAGCTGTTAATTTTTACTGTTTCTCACAGGCTCAGTATACTTATTTTAAAAATTGTTATTTTAATTCAAGAAACTTGAATCTGTTACTTTATTTTAAACATTATTTTCTCAGTGACAAAATCTTTGCAGTTGCAATGTTCGCACTGATATATTATAAAACGTATCATTCAAAAAATCATAAATTCTGTGTTATCTTAATAAAAAACAAAGCTTACCTTGCTACTTTGTTTCCAATAATACTATCCTTACAGTGTTGCATCAAACGCAACTCATTTCAAAGATCTCGCTAATAGCCTTTCTTCCTCTTCTTTTTTGAGAAAAAAATCTTAATTCATGGTGAGCATAAAATCAACAAAAAAAAAAAAAAAAAAAAAAAAAAACAATAATAAAAGGTGAAAAAAAAAAAAAAAAAAAAAAAAAAAAAAAAAAAAAAATAGTGGAGAGCGCTGAGATTCAACTAAATCCATAGAAGCCTGAAAACAAAATCTTTTATTTAATTTTTTGTCTTTGTTTGTTTGTTGTTTTTTTCCCCAAATATATAAACATAAAACATGATAATGTGTGAAGGCAAAAAACAGAAATGATAGCTTGTGAAGTTTAATAATTTATATTTTTTTTCTTTAGGCGATTGCTAAAGTATCAGAAGAATGTAAGTGTCAAAATATGCACTTTTTACAATTTGTAAAAAATGTTAGCATACGTTCCATCACATTGTGTAGACCAATCGAATTTATCAGAAAGGGCTTTTCTATTTCTATGTCAGATTTTATCTAAGAACTTTTGTTTTGAAAACATTATAATCACACATGTTTGGTATGAACAAAAATTAAAATGATATATTCTTTAAAATATTAATTTTTCGAAAATATATTTAAAAAGGTTATTTATTATCCATATTTACATTTACTAGTTTTTCTAAAATCTAAATTTGTTTATAAACGTTTTCATCTAAAAAAACAAAAAACAAAAAAACGTAGAGTTCCATGTGTCATACTTTCCTAACCATTCGATAATATACTTAACAATTTCGCTGGCGAAGTTTCCGTCTTACCTTATAATTTTATTTTTTTCTTTAATCTAAAACATAATCAATTCTTTTTGTAACTTACACTTATAATAAAACTGTATTAATAATATGTTTTTTTCATTTTCTAAAGTAGAAATAAATACCTTATTTTACTCTGATTGAGAAATTTTAAATAATTTCAACAGAAAATATGAACTTATCAAAAATATATTGAAAAAAAAAAGAGTATTTTTTTAATGTTATTTTATATAAAGATTAAACATTATCAGTCGAATTTATCAGATCTATCCAAAAAAGTCATATAATATATGTTTTTTTTTTATATTTAAACTCATTGGGAGATTCATTAAAAAATAAAATATATCTTGACGTAGTTAAATAATTAAATAGTCTAGGACATGAAATTAATTAGAAAATTTACCTCGTGTTTTAAATTAAAGTTTCATTATTTTTTAAAATCTTTTTTTCTTTATTTTGCTCCATAGAAAATTCGATTCTGCCACGGACCTCGTAGTTTACAAACGTCCAAGTGTTTACCACAATGTCATAGTGAGACAGCTGTTCCATTAGTCGACATAAAGAAACAAGCGGATGAAGTTGGCACCGATATCCACTTCGATTCGGATATGGAAACAAATGCAAAAAATAGTATACAAAAAAAAAAAAGAATTGTCATGAATCTTTGTTAAATTTATTGATAAATCGATGACTTTTTTTTTTAAAAATTGAATAATACATACATATGTATTACAATTTTATAATATAAGTGCAGCAGGTCTGATAAAATAATTGAATAGCATATAAAAAGTAATTATTATTATACTTACCATGTGGTTTTTTTTATATCTAGGATTTATGATATATTATTAAGTACTATTATACAATTTAATTTTGTGTCATTCATCACGTATTTTCATCAGAATCTGCTAGGAGGAGACGTCCAGTAACAGATACGCTTAGCACAGGTAAACATAGTTTCAATGTATAAGAAACATATTCATAGTGTATACGTAAACGAAGAGTTTTGACAACTGAAAAAAATCTACTTCATAGTCGATGGTCAATAAATGTATTGGTAAGTAGTGAAACACTTAATTTCTTGACGGAAACGTGGTGCTTAATTAAATGAGATAGAGCAGAAAAGGTAATAGGATTCCAGCAAACCAACAGTATAATAGGCTTGTTTGAAAATGACTGGAGAAAAACTTTTGAAGAAAGGAACAAAGTGCGAATGGTCATAATAAAAAGGAAAAGCAGAAAGATAAAACAAACAGACAAAGTAGCCAGAAGAAAAGCACAACAATGTATAGGAAGGAAAAGAGGGAATGGGAAAAAGTTAAACTAAAAAAAATAGAAGACTTATCGAGAGAGGGAAACAAGGAATGTATCTGCATATACAGGAGAACAAGAATGGATATCAAGCCAGTCATCACATGTGTGAGATTTAGGATTGACAATTAATTGAGGTTAAATGTAAATTTGCTGAAATGTGGTTGAATATTTTTAGGACATGCTAAATACAGATAATAGACAAGATGATGGATATCAACGATGTAGGACCAGATCCTTAAAAAAATTCAAACTCTTGAAAAAACTGCAGATATAATTAATTATATGAAAAACAAAAAATATCTTCGATAAGACTTCGTCACAACAGAACTTATTAAATATGGTGAAAGAGAACTATACATTCAGACGCAGGAACTTATAACTAAAATTGGGACACAGGAAGAATAATCCCCTTACACAAGAACGGCTACGAACTTCAGAGAATAATCTAAGGATGAATTCCCGTATGAAATGTTACATACAAAATAATGGCAAAACTAATTGCCAAAAGACTACAACCATACTTTGATAAAAAAAATAGGTGACTACCAATGTCGTTTCCAACAAAACAAATGAACGACTGATCTGTTTTCACCATCATATTCCTATTAGATTAATGTTACGAATACAATGTTCCAGTACATCAACTATAAGAAAAGTATAAAATGGCGTAGAACAGCATAAAAAATATCTATATGAGACTCTACAGGAGTTCTGCAAATTTAAAAACTGAAAAGACTGATATATTAACAATTACAAAATCAAAAACAATACTAAGGCAATTATTCAAGGAAATTTAAGATTATACGTGTCCTAAGTCAAGGGGACTCACTGTCTTGTATGCTATTTAATTATGCATTAGAGGGAGTAATAAGAAACATACAAATTGACACTCGAGGATAATTAGCAGAGTATTTTCATAGGTAGAGCCAAGAATGAACAAACAATAGGTGCTCTCTACAATAAACCGATTCGGTGTCTTGCATATGCTGATGGCACAGCAATGTTAGGAAAAAGTGGTAAAGATATATCAAATGCATTTTTTAAAATTAGAAGACGCATCACTACAAGCAGGGCTGGGACTTAACAACCCAAAACAATTAAATACTATGATAAAAGAAGAACAGACCAATAAAGTCATCAAAATTAGAAACCAGACTTTTTATTCTAATACATTAGATCTTTATTTAATGAAATAAACGAATTAATTATACAAATAATATAAAAAATATCACCAGGAAACAAGGCATGCTTCATTTATTAGAACATATTCAAAAATAAAAACATTACAAGAGAAACAAATTAAAACTTTTAAATAAAACTTTAATCAGACACATTGTAACATACGCAAGTGAAAGTAGACCGTAAAGAAAACTTCATAAACCAAAATAATATAAGGGAGAGAAACGTTTTCCGGAAGATGTATGGACCAAGAAAGGATACATATTGATGGTGAATACGAACATACTAAGCATTTTACAGTCTAAACCATGATCCCGCGCTAATAGAAGAAATAAAAAGGGTATGCTACTCTGGACAGGACACTTAGAAAGAATGAAGAGCGTAAGTCACCAAAATACAAGGGGAAGCAGTTCAAAAGCAGATCTAGGCTTACATGGTTAGATGATATCGTAAAGATGTACAACAGCTGGAAACCCAAGCAAACGGGGTTGGGCTTACTAACAAATAGTCTCCCTTGAACATGTCTACAAGTAAAAACAATCTATAGGCTTTCTCGACAGAGAGTGAGAGATACTGAGTGGATATAGATTGAG